TTCCACAACTATCTTTGATGTTGTATATATCAATCCAAAACCTAGAAGTATCTTTTTCATCAATTGAACCTCCATCACAAATTTCTGAATATTTTAAAGTTAAGAGTTTATTCCATTGCGCTTAAATCTCTTCTATATCAGCATCATCTTCTAAAATTAAAGCAAATAAATACAATAACCGATTATGAATAAAAACATGATTGCACTTAACACTTAATTATTTTTTTTTTAATGTAGTCTTACTTAATAGTTCTAACGGTAGATCCTTAAACTTTGGTGGTATTTGAGACAAAACATACACAGGACTGAAACACCTTAATTTCTAAATGACTTGGGTGTTCTGAGGCAAGCGTTTCACTAACTCTTGACAGAGAGTAAACAAAAAACTGCCACAACGTTCTTTCACAACTTGAAGAGCATGTGACGTCACTGTCTTCTTTTCAGCCAATTCTGAGAAAGCAAATCCAAAATCGATAGCATCCAATGGTAATAAAGAAAGTTTATTATTCAATGCATTTGAAACGCGGTCAATATCAAGCAGACTTAAGACAAATGGAAATTCATCATCTCTCAAGAAACTAGGCTTGATTATCCTTTTAGCTATGGACATCATAAGTTGTTTAAGTTCTCCATAAACTTTTGTAATGTCTGCATTTAAACTTTGAAATTTTAGGTTCATTTGAGTGACTTCTTTTAAAATTGGTTTGAGAAATGTAAAATAAAGCAGATTACTATCATCTTTGAACATTGCATTAAGTGTACGTGCGCTGTGACACTTTTCTATTAGCTCCTGCTATCTCAAAACATGTTTTGAGCTCAAGCCATTGATCAAGGATTACTCTAATGCAGTTGTAGAATGCCAACCATCTTGTTGGACATAATTTAACAAGCTGCTTTAGTTTTTTTCCCTCTCCATTAATGGTTTCATATAAACGGGCATATTCTAACTTCCGTAATGGACTGTATGAAAACCATGACACAGTTTCTCGAAGCATGAACTCAAGACTGGCAGGTAAAACCTCAGATGCTTTTGACGAACAGGTATTGAGCGAATGACATATACATTTTATCAGTTGTAGATTGGGTGAAACTTCTTGTAATAGGGTATAAAGTGAATGATGACGACCACATAAATTACTAGCACCGTCTACTCCTAAGCCAATAATATTTTCAGGTTTTAAATTTAGATCTTTTAAAAATTGTAATGTTATGTCTTGTAAAGCGTCTGCCGTTGCGCGTTCAACAGTTACTAATCCTAAGAATTCATTAGTAATATTTTGCATGGACTTACTAAAATATCTAATGCAAAATGCCATATATTTTGATACAGAAACGTCTGTTGATTCGTCCACTATTAGCGAATACTTACTATCACCAACATCAATAACTAGCTGCTGAAGTATGGCAGGTGATATAACATTAATAATCAGTTTAGAACACTTAGTCCGATGCAATCTCAAATTTTCTAGAGAAGAACCTTTTCCAGATACCTTCAATATATCAACAAGATGATCAATGCTTCTAATAGCTGAGTGAGTGGCAATGTGTACAGCAAGTTTTAATTCAACAGCTTTTCTTTCTCTTGTAACTGTCGACACACCTATTAAATTAATACAACATTAAAATTAACCATTTGTATTTATATGTATATATATATTTATAATATGAATATACGTATGTGTACCAAAAGATTGCAGTTGCGGTTGTTTTTCGACTATCAAACTTTTCATTTTTCCTACATGTTTTGCTGTTTTAGAATGACTAATTAAATCTCCATGATGTGCTCGCAACACAACTTTACACTTCGAACAATATGCTTCCTTAAGATCATTTTCGTTACATTGGCTTTCTGAAGCTTTTTGTAACCACCCTATAAAAACAAAATATGTATTTGGGTAATTAAATTATTAAAATATAAATAAAGTCTAGATAAGTAATTAATATTTACCTTTGAATTCCGGTTTAACTTCCCAATCCACACAATACTTGCGTTTATATTTACCATATTTTCCCATTATTATGTTATTAGTTATTATACTATAAAAAATACTAATGACAAAATATATATAGTAAAATATGTTTAGTCATTGTATGCATGATTACAAACAAAAATATACCTACCTAAAAATAGAAAAATACCAAATTCAAATGTATCAAACTACCAACGAGTAAACAAGCCGGGTCTAACATCATGTTGGTGTACGACCATGATACGGGATCGTTTGATGGAGTGTCGTTTCTATGATAATACTGAGATATCAGCATAGATAATATATTATCTATGGATATCAGTATATCAATAATTTCTATAATTCTTATCTGATATAAAAAATTTTTTTTTTTATTTTGTATTTCTGCATAAAAATACTATAATTTCAATATTTTGTTTTTAATTTATGTAGCCCACTATAGCCATTAATTTACTGGCATATAGCCCAATTGGCGTATAGACGCCCAAAAGTACTTTTAGGCGGTTTATTGACTTCTTAAATAGCCCATTTGGCGAGAAACCGCCCAATCTGGCAACCCTGTCGCGCATGGGAAAAGACGGTCGGTCCGCGGGACAAGTGGTCATCAGCGCGTGATGCGCAAAAGTATCTCAACCGATTTGGTTCACCTAGCGGCCGGCCGACGGTTCCTGGCGCGGATGTCGCGCGCTGGTGTCGTCCGTCGTCAGTTGGCGGTTGTTTGAGAGGTTCAGCACGGATTTCCGCGTTAAGGCCGTTTGAATTCAAACTGCCATCACGCGGGACCGCGTCAGCAGTAACTATTTTTGATTTAGTTTTCTTGCCTATAAGTAGGCTTTGGTTTTTTTTAATTATTTTATTTTTATATGGGTTTGATAAATAGTCTTTAATCGTAATTGTTGTTCCCGAAATTTCTATGATAACTCTTTCAACTATTTGGTCATAACAGTATAATTTCCACCCAACAACCAACATAGCAGAAATCAGAACAGCCATAGATGAAAACGGCTTTCAAGTTCGACAAATCACAAATGTCCAACATAAGACTTTAAAAATAAATCTACCAATATTCTTTGTTGATCTTGAACCTTCAGAATTAAACAAAAACATTTTTCATATAAGTCACTTGCTCCATACTAAGGTAAAAATCGAAGAACCATTTAAAAAACGTGAACTGGTACAATGCCTGAATTGTCAGGAGTACGGCCACACAAAATCGTACTGTGCACACTCTGATGCGTCCGATGTGCCGAGCATCACATCACCTCTGAATGTACAAAACCACGAAACCTTCCTGCCAAATGCGCGCTATGTCAGGGCGAACACCCTGCTAACTATAAAGGATGCCAAATTCACAAGGAGCTTCAAAAACGTCGTAATCCAACCTCAAGAACCAACCAACCAACTACAATCAACAATCAATCCAATCCAAAAACCACAGTGAAGGCCACTTCGGCGGAATTCACCCCCCCCCCCCCCCATCCTCTAAAAATAGAACATATGCAAATGTAAAGGGGCCTGTACACGGTCAAATTTGTTTGTCAACTTTGTTTGTCAAACTTCATGTTTTCATCAAACAAAAGCGCATACGATCAAACCAATAAATCAAATAAATATATTAAACTTGGCCATAGTTTCGGTTTTCGCCTTGCCGTGAAGTGACGTTCGTGTGTAGTTATCATATTTGTGTCATTATAATAATAATTATAATAATGAGTGATACAGATAAGGCGTTTTTGGCATTGACACTAGCACTATGTTTAAAGAAAAAGAAAAAAGGTCGTCGATGGTCTAGAGAGTGGTTGAAGTTACGGGATAAATATACCCACGAAAATTTATTACGGGAAATACTGCTCACAGAACCGAATGACTACGCAAACTTCCTGCGTATGGACCATAAAACATTTGAATATTTATTAACATTGTTAAGTCCTCGCATAACAAAACAGGATACCGTTATGCGTAAATCTATACCAGCTTCTCAAAGATTGTCCATAACCTTGAGGTACCTGGCTAGTGGTGCCGATTTTGAAGACCTCAAATTTCAATCTTGCATTGCACCGCGTACACTGGGCGGCATTATAATTGAAACTTGTGAAGCAATAAATGAAAGCTTAGACAATATTCAGGTAAGATTTTTATTTAAGATGTAATTTCAAAATTACAAAATATAAAATTTAAAACGCATAAAAATTATTTATAAATTTGGCTGCTGTATCAACTTCAGGTTCGGTTAGATATGTTTGTTCAGTGTGCAGATTAGGAGATGGAGTTTGTGGAATAGGAGATGGAGTTTGTGAAAAAGGAGATGGAGTTTGTGGAATAGGAGATGGAGTGTACGAAATAGGTGGTAGAGTGTTCAAAATGGGTGCTGCCTGAGACGGATTAATAACTACTGAATGTCTATGAAGATTTCCTTCTTCTCCTTCAAAGAGTATTTCGTTAATGAATTTTTCCGCCAGTCTTCTTTGTTCTATAGACATGCGCTCTAGTTTGAAAGCCCAGTGTCTCGCCATCACTTGATATTCATTTTCAGGTTTTCTGAAATGATCCCTGGCTAATGTCATCAAGTCATGTTGCAAGTCCTCATCCTTTTTCTTCTTTTTTATTCGTACAGGAGTAGTAGATGCTAAAGGTGGCAAAGATGATTGTGCTGATGTTGATGGTTTTGGTGATGATTCCTAGAAACCAAAAAACAAATATAAAATAAATATATAAATTATATATATATAAATTTTATATTATTATATATTATATTTATTAACGGTGACTGCACCAGTAAATAATTCTTGTTATGTCAACTTGTATTTCAAATAAACTAGAATTTTTATGTTTCAGATACCCAAAACACAAGAATGTTGGAAAATATTGGCACGACAATTTGGAAATACATGGAATTTTGATAATTGCATTGGAGCCGTGGATGGAAAACATATCACTTTACAAAAACCTGAGCATTCCGGTTCCTATTATTATAATTATAAAGGAACACACAGCATAGTGCTTATGGCTATAGCTAATGCAAATTATGAATTAATCATGATTGATGTTGGTACAAATGGCAGAGTGTCAGATGGAGGGGTTATTAAAAATACAAAATTTTGGAATATGTTTGAGAACAACCAGTTGCAGATTCCAGAGCCAGAGGAATTGCCGAATTTTAATAAAAAAATGCCATTTGTATTTGTGTGTGATGAAGCCTTCCAGCTTCTTCCAAATTTTATGAAGCCCTACAATAAACAAGTTTTGAATGATAACAGAAGAATTTTCAATTATCGTTTATCCCGTGCTCGACGAATAATTGAAAATGTATTTGACATTCTTGCAAGTCGTTTTAAGATTTTCCAAAAACCTATTAAATTATCTCCTGAAAAAGCTAAAATTGTAGTTATGGCTTGTTGTCATTTACACAATTTACTAATGAAACAAAAAAATTACATCAGGAATGGAGAAGTAGACATGGAAGATTGTGTTTCAGGGACTGTCATACATGGTAATTGGAGAAATGAGCCAAATCAATTGATGGATATCGAACGTACACGGGCTGGAAATAGCACTACATTAGCAAAAGAAGTGAGGGATGATTTTTGTGAATATTTTAACACAATGAGTGCTATTCCATGGCAAAACAAATGTTTAGAATAGGGAACTGTATACTGTAAGAATTAAAATAAAATTAACATTATCCTCTATTTACCATTTGTTCTGTTATTGAGCTAATTCCAGATTCTTCCTCCATTTGGTCTTGCAGAAATTCAAGTTCTTTGTAGTACCATAATGAAGGTACATACACTTCATCAGTACCAGATCCAGAAACCATCGATTTTTTCACTTTATTATTTTCACGCTTGAAAGTTGTTCGTAGAATATTTATTTTTTTTTTAACATCTTCTTCAGTGATGTTCCGTCGAGATACTTTCAATAATTCCGTCAGTTTTTTAATTGCATTTATTCTTTTGTGTTTATCCATGTACTCCTTTGATTTTATTCTCCAAAGCATTGGCATGTCACGATATATGGAGATAAATTGTAAAAGAAATTCTTTTTCTGAAATATTGTTGTCATTCATCGCACACGTGTTCTCCATGGTTTCAAAGCGATAACTGAGATCTTATTTGACAAACACCGTTGCACACTATCAAATAGGTTTGTCAAACACACCGTCAATCAAAATTTCTATCAAACACGTCAAACATTTACATTGTTTGACAAGCACGTCAAACAAGCCTGCACACTTTCAAAAAAATTGACAAACACGTTTGTCAAACAAAAATTTGACAAATAATTTGACCGTGTACAGGGCACATAACATCAAATAAAGAACCTCCAAAATTCGACAATAGCAATCAGTCAGACACAGGTACCTTATTATCTAAATTTATCAGTGACTTCCAAGCTCTCATAAGTCCACTGCTCTCCCTTCTTACAACAGTCCTAGCCAAACTCGCATCCCAAAATGACAAATAATACTCCAACCTCCAAATCGTTGCTCATACTCCTCTGGAATGCCAATGGAATCCATAAGCATATAGCCGATCTCTCATTAGTACTTCATGAAAAACGTATAGATATAGCATTAATATCAGAAACACATCTTACTAAAAGAACAAAAATACACATTCCTGACTACACAATACTCAGGTCAAACCACCCAGATGATACCGCATATGGTGGAGCGGTGATAATTATCAGATCCACAATTCTCTTTCATACGTTTCTCAACTAAGCGAATCCCACGTACAGTCGTTCACCATCCAAATTACCCTAGACCATTCTCCTATTTCTATCACCGCAGCTTACTTTCCCCCTAACCAAATAGTTTCCCCAATACTATTTGAGCAATTTTTCAACTCTCTAGGAAATTACTTTATAGTTGGAGGCGATCTCAATGCCAAGCACACCAAGCACACTCAATGGGGATGCCACTCTAACGCACCAAGAGGTAACTCTCTCAGACAGGTTATTACTGCCAAAAACTACTTAATCATCTCACCCCAAGACCCTACATATTGGCCAACATCACCCCGAAAGCGTCCTGATATCCTTGACATATTTGTCTCCAAAACCCCGAACCGATTTAGCACCAACATAGACAACCTAAAAAATTCTCACTCAGACCATTCGCCAGTTCTCCTCACTCTTGACACCTCTCCCCCAAAAAGACCAACGAATCCATCACTTATCAATGGAATAATTAATTGGGAAAAATTTCAATCGATAATTACTAACGACATTAACCTGAACGTAAGCTTAAAGTCTCCAAACGACCTAGAGGATTCAGTACAACACCTAACTTCAGTAATACAGAATGCAGCATGGTCATCTTGCACACCAAAAAAAACTAATAATAACTACCAAAACAATCTCTCTTTACCTGCCTATCTAAGATCTCTTATTGTTCAAAAACGTCACGCTAGAGCTACCTGGCAGAGAACAAAATATCCCACCGATAAAACTAAATATAATCAATTATGCACTGTACTTAAAAGACAAATGACTAAACAACGTTCAGAAGACTTTGCAAAACAAGCCTTCTATCCGAAAAAGATGGCTCTTTGTGGAAAACCACTAGAAAAATATTAAAAATCAAAATAATGTCATTTCCAATTAAAAAACAAGATGGAAGTCTCGCTATAAACGACAAAGAAAAAGCCGAAGCACACAGACAACACCTCTCCCAAGTTTTCAATCCAAACGACCCCACTATTCCTTCAATAGAAAACAAAATACTCAATTTCCTAGATAGTCCACTCCCAATGACACTTCCACCCAAACCATTCACTCCAAATGGTGTAAAATCATTCATACAAAAATTTCCTTTAGGCAAATCACCAGGACATGATTTGATAACAGCTGAAATAGCCCGCAGACTTCCCAATAAAGCTATCCTACATATTACACATATCTTTAACGCCATACTCCGAATATCATACTTCCCGATCCAATGGAAACTTGCTATAATTATTCTCTTTCCAAAACCTAACAAACCTATAGGAAACCCCTCCTCATACCGGCCAATTAGTTTACTACCTCTCTTTGCAAAACTTTTAGAAAAACTAATACTAAACAGAATTTTCCCAATCATCAAGGATAAAAAGCTAATTCCTGACACGCAATTTGGATTTAGAGAACATCACTCAACCATCCACCAAATACACCGTCTAGCCGATACCATTGCCTGTTCTCTGGAAAAGAAACTTTACACTTCTGCAGTATTTCTCGATGTGGCGCAGGCCTTTGGCAAGGTCTGGCACCCAGGCCTTCTTTACAAGCTAAAATCATTCCTACCCCCTTCATATTACCTTTTCTTCAAATCAAACCTCAATGAACGCCACTTCCTTGTCAAGTCAGGAACCGAATACTCCAGCATATCCCCAATACTAGCCGGCGTTCCTCAAGGTGCAGTCCTATCACCAACTCTTTTTAACCTTTACTCAGCTGACCAACCCACAAATCCAAATACTCAAATAGCTGAATATTCCGACGACAAAGCAATATTTGTCACCCACACCGATCCTGATTTAGTCTCATCCACTCTCCAAAGCCACCTGAATGACTTATAACACTAGTACTCTCTCTGGCGTGTCAAAATCAATGAAAACAAATCTGCACATACCACTTTTGCTCTTCGCCACAGACAACCTTCTTCGGTACATATAAACGACAAACCAATACCATGCTGCGACACAGTCAAATATCTAGGTGTAACCTTCGACAAACGTCTAACATGGGCTAAGCATATACATACAACAAAACTAAAATTAAATCAACGACTATACTCTCTCAGACCCATTCTCGGCAAGTTCTCAAAATTATCTCTCAAAACCAAAATTCACATTTATAATCTTCTACTTAAACCTATCTGGCTCTATGGCATTCAAATCTGGGGCACGGCAAAAATATCAAACACACGAAAAATACAAGTGTTCCAATCAAAAATCCTCCGTCTCATAACCAATGCTCCACCTTATATTTCTAACCACACTCTGCACACAGATCTTCACGTTCCTAAAGTCACTGAAACAGCCAAGCTTTACTACAAAAAATTTAGGAATCGCCACCAAAACCACACCAATCCCCATATGAAAAAGCTTCTATCTATCTCCATTCCAGATAATCCTCCTAGAAGACTCAAACGGCAATGACCTCGTGATCTTATAATGTAAACATAATATGAATATTTAACACCCATATAATGTAAACTCATGCCGAAGTACCTTCACTGGATGGTTTCTTCCCCCAAGACATCAAACCATCACACATAATTTATAAGAAACCATACATTATGCCTATTGTACTTATTTGTATAGATTGTATAATTTTCTAGTTTACAAATAAAAAAAAAAAAAGTATAAATGAACCACATGACAGGGCATACTTCAGACAACATAAGAACAGTTGAACGTTGCTCATTGAATGTACGTTATAAAATATCCAGTATACTATCCTGGATTTATAATCTACATCAATCAGTCTAAATATATTTTACATTTAATATTATAAAGTATGCTAGAGTGAATTCAGTCCAAGTCAGTGTATCGGTTTAAATGGAACTGAAAACATACAGGTTTGAATGTCAATTACCAATTTTATTTAATAAGTATAATTATGTATGGGTTATTTTAACGGACACGGAATTTAGAATTGTTTAAACGTCGGGTTCAGTTACAGATGTACAATCAGTATAACTCAATGTAAGTATGCAGCTCGACATGTAAAAAGAATAGCTACAAATATCAATAAAAAATATATGACTTATTTATTAATCTTTGACAGATTTTAAAAAAGTATACGAAAACTGATAACGGGAGGGAGATAACAAACACATGGGAAATTTGAAAAGAATCGGAAAAAAATGCAAAATGTCCGAGCGGCCATACTTTTCAATGCGCCGCCGCAACTCGTCTTTGCCGCCGTATCGAAACCCACACCCCGAGGTCGATGACCTAATGCCTAAACCTCCCTACCTACGATTTGAGATACTGATGGTTGTCAAATCTACCACACTTATGCCGGGTTGCATGAAACCGAACTTTAAATTTATTTAATGAACAGTTTTAACGAGCCGTTAAATCGTTTTACAGAATCGTTTGGGTTGCACAAATCGTACAATAAAAATATATTGGTATTAAACATGATACCGAGGTTAGTGTAGAAATTTAAGTTTATCACAGAAAAAGTGATAAAATCCTATGATCTAGATCAGAGGTTCCCAAACTTCTTATTGTGCGACCCATTTTGAATTTTTTTTTAAATATAGCGACCCACAATATCAATGAATGACCTTTTTTTTTTTTACCATACAACAGAAAATTAAACTATTTTATTACATTTTATGTAATTACGAAAAAAATGTATAATAAGTATAATATATAGTATTTGACACGGCCGCTGGTAAACTCGTAATTGTCATACTCACAGATAAGGATTGACGATAAAACTGAATTTGAACTTTGAACATCAACGAAAAGTAATAGATGATTATATTTTTGTATTATTTAAAAAAATAGTGCGACCCACCAAAAGTATAATCGCGACCCACTTTTGGGTCGCGACCCACAGTTTGGGAACCTCTGATATAGCGGCATACGTTCACGACATTCTTAAGCCTGTTTCAAACAAACCGTTTTGAAATGTCAACTATATCTACTGCGCTAGCCTATAAAACATAAAAAAGTCTACCATTTTTCGGAGCTTCCATTGACCGTGGTCGGGGAAACTTATCACTGCAAAAACGATTGTGTATAATATAGGTGATAATGTATTGTTCTTATTTTCAGAGCGCCGATCGACGAAGGCCGACAACGGACAATCGTAGTGGAAAGCGGCTTGTCGTCGGCCGACGGTTTGGCTGTGGACTGGATTTACGGACACATCTACTGGACAAACGCGGACAAGGACTCCATCGAATTGGCCAACTTCGAGGGCAACATGCAGAAGACGCTTTTCAAGTCGGAACTGAAGGAACCCAGGTCGATAGCCGTGGACCCACTCAACGGGTAATTAACAACAACGGCCTCCCCTACCCAATCTACAAAACAAAAATAAAAACCCAAAAACAAATCCTACCGCTGACCGTGTTTCCGTCATGTCATATCTACTAATACACAGTCAATAACATATTATTATTAATGCAAAACAAACGCGGGTCTGTTGGCAGGTGGCTGTATTGGAGTGACTGGGGTAGCAACGCAAAGATCGAACGGGCCGGCATGGACGGCACCCACCGGGAGGTGATCGCATCGTTCGACGTGAAATGGCCAAACGGCATCACCCTGGACCTTGTGTCCAAGCGGCTGTACTGGGTGGACGCCAAGCTCCACACCATTTCGTCGTGCAACTTCGACGGCAGCCAGCGGCGCCTGGTCCTATTCAGCCCCGTCTGGTTACCGCACCCGTTCAGCATATCCACGTTCGAGGACTCGCTGTACTGGTCCGATTGGAACCAGAAGGCGATAATCAAGGCCAACAAGTTTAACGGTTCCAACATCACCACTGTCACCGCCTTGCACATGGTACATAATATTACACACTTATTTTTTTTAAGACATCGAAAAAAGTCAAAACCGACATAGTATGACGATCTGTCGCTGCAGCTCATAGTTGCTCTGATTTTAGACCGACACCCTCTACGATGAAAATGTGCGCAAAGTTTTTCTTCACAAGATCCCTCTATAGAGGAACGTCGTACCTCTATACAGGTGGTACTGAGGAATGGCAGTAAATATGTCCGTATAGACTGTAATAATACAAGTCGTTTGAGATCGTTGCGCAATATAGGTAGTTGAGATCGACGTGATCAATGAATAATATTATTAAGTTTGTGTTTATTGTTTTGTTTCCTGTTCGACACAGTAGGCGACGTATTTTGTTAACTGCAATAACCGTGTCCGTGTGTTTTTTTGAGCCTCCGATGACTGAATTTTTACTCGGTGGCGTGGTGAACTCAAAATAGCCGTCTAAGCCGAACGCCTCTTGACGAATATCGGTGGTGGGGATGGTAGTGGGCAGAGTTTCGCTCTTAATGCACTCCCCCTCTCTCATATCGGTATCATAATATTTCATACTGTAGGTACGTGTCACGACCGCCGCTCAAAAGTCTCAATACTCTCCTGCAAATGTCGTGACCTCAAATCGCATGCGCGTGTTGTTATAGGACCGCCGCAGTAACCTTTGCATTAATTATGCTTGTAACAACTAACAATATTATACATTATCGCCGTTTNATTCAGTTGATTCTGATACTAATTACAATGACGGTAAGTACCTACAGTATTGAGAGTTTGTAAGAAAACAATGTATCAAAGAAATAGTTTATTAAAATATAGATTTTACTTAATACATTGTATTATTTATTTAGGAGGATTTGAAGTTGTCAATTTATTTTCTGAGGACATAACCGACTTTGAAGATTCAAGTATGTATTTATTAATTATTAGTTAATCAGATATAACTTATAAGTTATAACTAATTAATTACTAATTAAATTTTGAGTTATCAAGATTTTTGACTTATTCAGGTTTGAGTTATTGAGATTTGACTGTATATAGTGCACAGGGGATAGTCCTTTTTTACAGATTACCTTTTACAGTGGCGGTATAAATAAAGTTACATTTACAAAGTTGTATAAATGAAAATGTAAGGTGAGTGGGTAGTGGTCAAAAACTTGTGAGGCCAGTGTAACAGCTAACTAAATATATGGTTTTATATTAATGGGTAAGTAGGTGATTTGTTAATTATAGTGATCAAAATTAAATTGTGTAACTGATATCTAATAAAAGATCATGCCGCCACTGACTTTGTATAATATAATATTATCAATGCTAATAGGTATGTAATTTGGCTTTTGATATAGCCAATTTATTTCAAAATTCAGATATCCTAGGTGGACCTGTTATTCCTGAACCCATATTCTTAAACAAAACATTCTCATCTTTAAATCAATCCACTCCTTCAGTATCTGCAGCATCTATTTCCAATTCATCCGACAAAAGCATAATATATAATTCCTCTATTAAATCCCATAAAATTTTGAATCTAAGCCCAAACAAGTTTCTTCTAAAAGAATTTATGATGGCTTGGCAACATTAAATAATAAAAGATTAACAAAAACTAATAATAGCTCTAAATTTGAAGGAGAAATACATGATATAAAAATTAAAAAAAGCAAAATTGATCCCGAAAAAAGTGAACTTGAACGAACATTAGTGATACAAAAAATACTATACCAAATATTGCATTAGACATTGCTTAACCGATTAAATTCATTATTTAAATCATTAATTAAATATATATTTTACTGCATTAGATAAATATACACTGTTTGAATATATTTTATTCAAATTTAATTCATACTGGGGTCGTGATGCGTCAATTAACGTCGCATCTAATTAATAAAGGTTATCATAGACATGTCAGTAGCATACAAATGCGAATAAATTTCAATTTCTGATGTTTTAGATTTTTACCATCGGTAGGTACATATACACAATTCATTCATCAATCGTAGGATATAGTTAATGAGTTTATTATATATATATATTGTTATAGTTTATATTATATTATATTACAATACATTTTTCTTGGCTAAGGCCATTATGTTATTTGTTTGTTATTGTCGGTTGAAACAAAAAAAAAATATGTCTATATTGTTTTATTTATGTTGACATGAAAATGTGAGTTACAGATAGATGTCAAATCTACCACACTAGAGTTGTTTTTCCACTATAACAAATATTGCACTAAACATTGCTTAAACGATTAAATTCTTAAGAGTTGTGTAAAATTAAACCTCGAATTGCATTTCTATATGTTTCTGGTGTGTGTATACTGCAATTCCTATCAATAATTGTCTACATACAATATACTTTACTACATTAGGTATGTATAGACCGTTTGAATGAAATGTATTTAGAATTACTGTAAACTATAATATAGTGCATACAATTAATAACGGTAATCATCAACATGTCAGTAGCATACATTATGCGATTACACTGCAATTTCTGATAGATCTTGTTAAAAATTATACTAATATGGACATGATAATGAATTGTGAAATATAGTTAAAAAGTAGTCATCTAGGTATATTATTATGTGAATATTGTCTTACTCGTGTTTATCTAAACATTAATGTACCACATAACAGAGCATACATTGAACTATATAAAAACTGTTGAACGTTGCTCATTAAAATAAAATCCAGTATAATATTTGTGTTCAACAATTCTCTAATAAAAATGTAACAGTATTTATTATGTTAGGTACTATCTGTGAGTAAATCAAACAACAGAAATGTGTGTGCGCCCAGCAACGTCTAGTTAATGTCGGTTTATTTGAAGAAAATAGCTCTGTCGACAAATAATAAATGTACCTAATTAGATAAGTTTACACGATATGAGACCCAGAATTTAGAATTGTTTTTTTGCTTTAAGCAGTCACAGCTGCACTGTCATCATCAGTATGACTAAACGTAGACATCATGCCACTGGTTTAAAAATTAATTTGTCAATTAATATATTATGATTTACAAATCGAGTCATGGCCAAGTCTATGATTTATCATCATTTATTTATAACATATATCGGTCAGTCCAAAATATCCATCACACGTTATTTATTATTTACTATCCTCGAGTACATTTAAACAACGCTGTGTCTATACGCCCGACCATGGTCGGTAAAATAAGGTATGCCCGACCATGGTACGTGCCAACTATTAGTTGGCAACTAATGCCTCAAGTGAGACAGACATGTCAGCAAGATAATACCATAGAACAATAGCATCAGCATAAGCTGTGACGTATGGTGGAGTAAATCATGGTATAAAAAATTAATTCATGGCATAGAATATAATAAAACATAATCAAGATTTTCAAGAAGAAAAATTCGATACGTATCGATACGTACCACCTCATCGAAGTCCGAGTCCGATACGGGTCCAAACGCAAAGTATTATATTTTTTTTACTGGCAAATACCAAATTATAATTTTAAACTTTTCAAAAATTACCTACGTGGGTGGGCTGATAAGTAATGCCTCTTGACGCGTAGTTTTAAAAGTATTATACATAGAATAATTAATGAAAAACACACGTATAGTAATTTAAATGATTTTTGTTTACATACTATTATTTTTTAACATAACTACCTTCTAGGCGATACATTTTTGCCAACGATTTACTAGTTTAGAAATGCCATTCAAATAAAATTCTTCGGGTTGAGCATTGAACCATTGTTTAACTTCAGCTTTAACTTTCTCGTCAGAATTGAATTTTGTACCCTTGAGATGTTCTTTAAGCTTAGGAAACAGAAAAAAATCACATGGTGCCAAATCCGGGATGTAGGGTGGGTGTGGAATGACTTGAAATCCCAGTGATTCAATTGATGTCATTGTTGCACGGCTGCAATGAGGTCTCGCGTTGTCGTGATGAAGCAAAAGTTGGGTTAAATTTGGTCTGACATGATTAATCCTTTTTTCAGCCTTTTTAGTGTCTCTATGTATCGTATAGAGTTTATTTTTGATTCTTCCTCTAAGTATTCAGTGTAGATCACACCTTTTGAATCCCAAAACACAGTCAACCGGCCGTCCACTTCGATCCTGATCGGCAATAATCGCTTTTCCGACTTCAGAACCTTTAACCCGTAATGCCCAACGACAAACAGAACTTACATCGATAGTTTGATTTCCATAAACCGCAAGCAGGCGTCTATGAATATCGACTGGCTTCACATTTTCTGCAACGAGAAATTCAATAACAGCACGCTGTTTGAACCGCACATCTGAAGGGGCCGTCATTATAGAGTCCATAAATAATAAAATATTAACATTACACTATCGCGTCTTCGCACACACTAAACCAACGACATAAACTATTATATTGACAACAAATGACAATTTTATCGTACATCTAAAAATAACTATAAGATAAGAGGCATTACTTATCAGCCCGCCCTCGTATTTATACTCAGTTATTGATGTTTAACTAATTTTTTCATTCACATTACTATTTTATATTTAATTAACTTTTAATTAATTTGTTAATAAACTCGTTAATTTTTTTTCATTGGTTATTGTGTGTCATTGGATAGGTACATTAAATAGGTAAAATGTGTAATACCTACTTTACATTTATATTATTTATAAAATATATTAACCTTTTAAAAATAGTTTTTATTTTTATTTTTTGAATTACCATAAAACTGTCCTAATATTATATGTAATACATTTCATTCATTTTAATATTTACCTATGTGTTATTTTATAATTTTTTTAAATTTCTTTTGTTTACTTGATGTATTATTTCTAGTAGAACTTATTCTACGGTTCATTTCTCGGATACGTATATATGTTCTTGTGCGAATAGCACAAGAAAGAACTTCATCAGGAATAATATTTTGTGGAATTTGACTCTTCACTAATATCATTAAACTTTTAATGATACCTTGTTCTTTGGACAATGATTCATTACCGTGAAATTGTATGAATATGGATTTTAATATTTTCATCACATCATTGGATGGCCGAGTTAAATAACCTGTAGAAATATATAGGTATTAATTAACAACATATGTAGGAAAGTGTATAGTGTG